CGTGGTCTGGTGTGCCCGTTATCCATTTTAATATTGTCCCTAATGCGTTTAATCCTCTTCTAAATCTATTAACTGGATTTATCTGTTTTATTAATATTTCAATTTTTTGGTGTAATGTTTTCATTTCAGGATTTGAATCTAAATTATATTTTGAGTTTAATATATTTTGGTATGGTGTTAATATTCTAGTTAAATTTGTAATATGATATAAATAATCGTAGCTATCAAATATAAAAGCTGGATTTGTTTCTATTAATATATAATCTTTTCCTTTCAGGTTTGTAATATTTGTGTCTGAACTAATTCTGTTTATGCACAGCAAGATTATTATTATTATGAGTATCATTTCCAGTTAGTACGGATGTTATCTTTGTGTATTATTCTATTATCAGTTGTTGTGACTGTTCTACCGTTATCCTGTTCAATTATTTTTTTCATGAATCTATCGTGGTTTTTATTTCTTCGGCTTCTCTTAACGTAAATAATATCTCCTTTCTTGTAAGTAATTTGTTTGTTCGGTGCCTTTTGTTGGGTGATATCTCTTTCTTGATTATATTGAATTCTATTTCTGATGACTTTATAGTCGTATCCTCCTCTGTTGAAAAACACGTCCTCGGGTTTATGTCCTGTGACCGAGTGAATGGTTTTATTGTACTGTCGTACTGCTTCGAATATTACCTCTTCGTGTGTGCCTTTGGTTTCCTTTACTAGTAAGTTAGTTAGCTCCACTATTGTGCTGTGCGTTCGCTCTACTTGACCGTTCGTTGTCGAATGTTGTGGTGGCACTGCTGTGTGCTGTATAGGTAGTCGATCGTATACAGATTTTGCTACTACATTAACGTATGTCGGGTCGTTATCGGTTGTTAGGTTCGTTGCGTATGGGAATATTTGTGATAGTATTTCATTCAAATATATGTATGTGTTTTTCCTATCTGGTATTTTTCTTATATAGCAGAATTTTGAGTATCTGTCTACTGTAGTTATATATATTTGGTTGTCCATAAAAAATGTATCCATGTGTAAATGTGTACCTTCTTCATTTGGTATTGGTGTTTTTCCGTAAAGTAATTTATTCGGTCGTCTGTCGTATTTACATTTTTTACATATCTCAAATATTTGTGCTGCCTTCTTTGCCATATCTTGCATGTTAGGCCAGTAATAGCTCTCAGAGAGTTCTTTTATATTATTTCTATAATTTCTATGTGCTCTTCTGTGTATTTGTTCAACTATCTCATTCTGTTCATTTTCGTCAGTGGTGTCTCTGACTAATCCATTTGCTATTACAAAATTAGTTGTGGGGAAAGTTTGTACTAGTGTGGTTTTTATTTGATATAGAATTTCTTTTGTAGTGATTATGGCGTTAATATTGTTTGGGTGTAATACGCCTTTAATATCACTTATCAATTGTTCTATAGTGGTGAAGTATATGGTATGTCTAAATTTTCCGAATATATTTTTACTTTCTATTCTTACTAATCCATTGTTAGTTTGGATAATAATTTGATTATTAAAATGGTTTAAGCTAGTGCCTACCCTTCTTATGGTTTCAGTGGATGAGCTGAGTTGAGAGTGCTGCGATTCTGAATCGGTTAATTGATTAATTTGTTGCCGACTTAGTGCGTCTGCAACTATGTTTTGAAAATCTGGTTTGTATACCAATTTGGCACCGTATTCTTCTATTTGGTTTTTCCACCTTTTTAATTTATTATTAGGGTTCTTCCCTGAAATAGAGTAGGTTAAGGACTGATGGTCCGTGTAGATTGTAAGGTCTGATCGTCTATATAAATAGTTCCTGAGTTTTTGTAGTGCGCAAATTATGGCTAATAACTCTTTTTCGTTCGTGCTATATTTTTGTTCCGTCTCGCTTAGTGTTCTGGATATAAAACAAATGGGATTTCTACCTTGGGATAACACAGCTCCTATGGCAAAATTACTTGCGTCCGTGGTTAAATCAAAGGGTTTATTGAAATCGGGTTGAAAGAGTTCGACTTGTGCTTGTAATTCCTTTTTTAATATATTCATCGCTTTTATGGCTTCCTCATCTAATTTTATTTGCATTTTTTCACTTTGATTTTTCTTTACGAGACCGTTTTCTCCTCTTAAAAACAATGTTAGGGGTTTAGTAATCTTGGCGTAGTCTTTGATGAATTTTCTATAATATCCTGCTAGTCCTAAAAATGATCTTAATTCTTTCAGATTCATAGGCACCGGGTAATTTTTTATGGTCTCAATTTTTTGTGGGTCTACGGTTATTCTGTTATGTTTAATAATATGTCCTAAATATTCAGTGCTGTCTTTGAGAAAATGAGATTTTTCGTATGAAATCTTCATATTTGCTTGACGCAGTGCATTTATAACAATTCTTATGTGTTCCATATGTTCATCGTGTGAGGATGAATATATTAACACATCGTCTATATATACATGCACGAATTTTCCTATGTAATTCCTTAATATGTCATCTACGCATCTTTGAAATATTGAAGGTGCGTTCTTTAGTCCAAACGGCAGCCTTAAGAATTCATATTTTGCTCCGTTTATGCTAAAGGCTGTCTTTTCGGTGTCTGACTCCTTGATTTTTATCTGATGGAAACCTGCTTCCAAATCTAGGGTTGTAAAAACAGTTGCTTTACCTAAATTCTGTATTGTCATGTTGACATCGGGTATGGGATATCTATCGGTAATGGTTTCGCTATTCAATTTCTGGAAGTCTATGACCATTCTTCTCTTAGGGTTTCCTAACTCGTCAGTTCCTTTCTTTGGTACTGTCCATACGGGTGAGTTATAGGGACTTTTACTGGGTTTAATTATATTATTCTCTAGCATTTTATTTATTTCTTTATTTATAAAATTATTGTCTGAAAAGGGGTAAGGGTACAGTTTCGTCCATATTGGCTCTTCAGTTTTAGTGCGGATCGTCGCTTCAATTGTTGTTGTAAATGGTAAAATAGGATTTGTTTCCTCATTAATTCTCATAACTTCTTCAACTTCTTTTTATATTTGCTCTCATCTATTGTGAAATTTACTTGACTGACATCCATTTCATTTTTCTTCTGTTCTGTTCTCCTGACATACATCATTTTATATTCGAACAGATCTATCTTAGCTTTCATTTCTCTCAAGGATTGTTCTCCTAATATCATATCAAATTCTTTTAATTCTTCGATTTCAAAAAATATTAATTCTTGTCCTAGCATTCTAATCTTCTTGGCTGAGTTTATTGTGTTTGAACCATTCAGAGTTCTACTAACAAATTGTTTAACTGGGAAGGTCTTTCCATTTGGAATATTTTTCCTAATATAATTTAATGTTGAACCTGTGTCTATTAAAACTAATAGTTTTTTGTTATCATGTAAAATAATCTGAAGACACGGCAGATTATTTACTCGTCTAAAAAAGTAGCTCTATTTTCAAATTCGCTTTCATCTATATTTACCCTTAATGACTGATCACTATTATTATCCGTTATTTGGTTGATCCTTTGTAGTTTCTGTGGTGCTATATTATATCTGGATGACGTTGGTTGGTGGTTTCTTTTAAATGGTTCTCCTCTATTGGAATTGAAAGGTGCGTATCCTGCTCTTTGTCGTTCATAGTTGTTTCTGAAGGGATTCTGTTGATACGATTGCTGTTGTTGATGCTGATTATTCGTGGGTTGCCGGAATCTTCCTATTGATGTATCCACGTCCATTGGTGTCGGGTTTGATCTTTCTATGTGGGGAATAGGTGGAACTCCTGGTTGATACTTCCGTTCGTTTTGTGGGTGTTTGGGGTAGTTATAAGCTTCTCGTCGTATCGGATTGTTCTGCCTTTTATAAAGAATCTCCGTGGCAATTGCGTATGCACTTTCTAAATCTCTTGGTTTTGCTGCATATAATGGGTGTTGAGTAAATTCATCATTTATGCCATTGCGGAAGCAATCTATGGCCATTTCTTTTGTGATCTGCTGTAGAGAGTTAGTATTCCCTGGGTAATCAATTTCGCATTTAGTCATTGCTAAATTAAAGATTTGACAGATCTTGCTGTGGAATTCGGATAGCGTCTGTCTTCCTTGTATTTGTCTTTTCATTTCCTCTATGAGGGCGTTATAGCTTCTAGTATCGGCGTAGCTGTAATCTAGGCGATTGAGTATTGCTTGTAAGTGAAATACTGTGCCATGATTCTGTAGAAGAGTTGCTGGTTCTCCTTCGATCTTCGTGTGACGTATTATAAATAATGCATCGTAATATGGTTTGGTATCTCGAAAGGCTTCTATGGGACTCATTGCTGATATGATGGTTGCCCTCCATGTCCTGTATTTGGATGTATCTCCGTTGAATACTGGTAGCCGTTCGAATAGTCTCAAATTTATTTCATTTGCATTGTTTATCCTGGGACTTATCGGTTGGAATTCTTCGATTTCAGGTACTTGCGCTTGCTGCAGCTGGGCTAATTGTGCTTCTACAGCGGCATAAGCTTGTTCCAAGGTTACTACCCTTGCTTCCATAATGATTCCTCTGCCTTGATCAAACACTTGTAATCGCTTTTTTCGGAAGCGGTCCAGTTTTATTTTTGGTTCTCCTTGTCCTCTTTTTCAGGACGTGTGGAATTTGATTGTTTAGGAGTTCCTTTTATTATTCACTTATTGAGCCCCCAGTTAAATTCATACTCTCGATGTACATAAATAAATATAATTTTATTGGTACCAAGATGTACTTAAATCAATTCTAACCTGAAGTTCATATGCTTCAGTATAATAGAAGACTAACTTATTTCTATGCTTAATCCTCTATTTATAGGCTCTGGTTTCTTTTGTATATTGGTTGCTGATAATCTTCAATAGGAATGTTTTGGTTGCTGATAATCTTCAATAGGAATGTTTTGGTTGCTGATAATGTTCAATCTTTTATTTGCTGACAATGTTTTGGTTGCTGATAATCTTCAATAGGAATGTTTTGGTTGCTGATAATGTTCAATAGGAATCTTTTATTTAAACTACTGATTCTGTATCATACATTGGATGATGTCATCGGTACAGTAGTGTATTTTCTGTTACACTAACTCGCATCTCACTAGTATAAATAGCTGTAAGATCTGATATTATAAACAGTTTTAAGAATACCAATAAAGTGTACGGATTTCGGCGTAGTAATAAAAATATATTTTTGATGTGTATACATCTTTGTTTTCGGTAGGGGTAAAATTTGCGAAGCTGTAACGCATATCCCAGCACAAAATTTCGAAGGGCTAGCATTGGTATTTCAGCATAAAATTTATATTTTCATTAGAAGCACCCTGTGTTTGCTTGCTAAATGGCTGTAAATGGTTGCATACATTTAGGCATATGCATAGTAAGAGGAAATGCGCTACAATTGATTATTACTTCCGATTATTTAAACTCAGCACATGCATACGGCTTTGTACCAATGTATGTACATAAATATTTATGGACTCATTTGTTGCAGCTGGGCATGAATCACGAAACTTTGAAACGATAGTCGTTCAAACCACGATCCAGAAAATAAAGGTCGCGCCATTCGCGGACCGCTAACCCTCTCTTCGTCGATTTGACAGCATCCATCCAATCGCTGACGTCATAAAATACTTTTGTTTACATTCACTGTTGCCAACTTGATGCTTTACCCACCAAATTTAGTGGGTATTCAAAACGCAAATATTTTTGAGTTTGATGCTTGGTGCGTTTTTGGTGCTTTTGTTTTTAGTCTGAGGACACCAAATTAGAAAATCCTAAAAAAATCTAAGCAAAATTTATAGCAATCGTAAGTGTGGTAAGCAGCTTTACAAAAATTTAAACAAAATCATGGCACAGT